GGGCGCGGCCCCGACCCCCCCGCAGCTCAGACCCCCGGACAACCCGCGGGCCGGGCTCGGTGCGCTTGAAGACTCAACTTTCCCGCTTGGTCAAACGAAAGGCTCGGCCCGCGGCCGCTGCGCTGCGGGGCCTGGGCAAAGCGCCGGAACAGTCTGTGTGTGAGGGGGCTGTTCTGTTATGGCTATTTCTGTAACACCACAAACAAAGTATTGCAGCTTCCTGGTATCGAACGACAGAAATCCTCCGCTCACGGCTCGCTGGCCAGAAGAGGGAATAATTTCATGTCTTTTAAGAGTTAATTTCCTACCCCCCAGGGTCTGATGAAGCAGGAAAGTTAAGTTTTCAAGCACAAAAGCCCTCACAAAAGGTCAGATGTTACATATGGCACAAACTTGACAAATCTTCTTTACATATCTCGAGAACAGCAAGAAACCCATCAAAAAGGCACTGTTTACAATACTTGAATAGCTCCTAAATTTGCTGTGATTTCGGGATACCCTTGGAATAACAATCGTTAAAACTTACAGATGTACAGAATCCTTGTTCTATGCTATTTACACAAACAGTGGTAAAGCAACAGCCGTTAAGAAACTATACAAAACACTGAATCCAAAGTCTGTTTCATAAACGCCAGTCTAGCAAAAAAAAACAAACCAAAAAAACCTCCCAAAGGCACAGAAGGGCAGTGAACAACAACAAAATAACGGGGGGAAGAAACCACCATCACTACATTTTATGGGACAACCTTTCAAATAATTTACGAGATTTAACTGGTGGGTTGGGTGGGGAAACAATCTTAAGTAATGACAACTATTTAAAGAAATTCACATATGAAATGCAACAAACATCACCTAGGGCTGAAAGTGGTACTTACTACATTTCACATGGTGTATTCTTACCTTGGGTCATCTGTACCTAACTAGGCAGTCTGTACCTAGGTGGCAAATTAAAGGCTTAGAACACATTTGAAGAAAACAACAAAACAAACCCAAACCAACAAAACCACATGGCAATAAATTCTGAAAATATTTCCTGTACAAGAAAACCCAAACAAAACAAGGTTTATAAATCAAATGGGAAAACAAGTGCTGTTTTGAACTTTAAAACTAGGAAGAGGCCACAGTCCTCAAACATCTGCAAACTGTACAATTAGTTTTTATAACTATGTGCAGGGTTCAGTATTAAGTACATAATATTCAAGATCAGCCACACAGCAGGATTGAACAGGACAATGGTGATGCACTGAAGAAAAGGCTTTGTACACACCTGTGACCAGCTGTACTGGAAAAATCAAACAAGGAATTTCTTTGCTCTATTTATATGAGGGAATATCATACAAAACCTAGCAAAGCAGGAATCACTAGGTTTTCAATATACTTTTTAGACTTTAAGTTATGTAATGCTACAGTCAAGCAGAAGTCTGCAAATTTTACTTGTCAAAAAGTTCCATCATACATACTTTACCTTCTTGGGCCATCACTAAAATCACTTTTACAACAGAATTAAACTCTAAAAATTAAGTTGAAAAGGAAAATAAGGACAGGCATTTTTGTCTCTGTTTATGTCTTCTACTTATCTTGAGTTGAGCATGAATTTCAGATACGGACTGTCCGTTTAGTCTGACCCTGTCCAACACTGCACTGCCAGCCAGCTGGGTCAAATCCACAGTTACTACTATGCAGTCCAGGTAAAAATACATGCAGACTGTGTTATTAACTGATCTTGAATAGAAGTAATTAAAAAGTCAACATGAAAGGGCAGAAAGACATTCTTATTTACAAAGAAGATAAAAAAATCTTGTAACTATCAGTCAAGAAGTTTCAGCACCTCAAATTAACAAAGTATTATTGTAGGGGATTGAAGTTATTGCCCAAATTCTCACTCATTTCCTCTGGTATTACTCCCATGTACAGAGTATGCTTAAAGGCTTGCAATGGATCTTAAGACAGGTAAAGCTTTGACATCTGAATACAATAATGAATGGCCAAATTCCAGGCAGAGAACATAAAATTAAAGCTATACTCTGGTTTCTTTATGACATTTTATACATTACTAACAACTTCAGCTGCTGTTTGGATGCTTAACTTAGGGATTTATTTATTTTTTTAATGTTTTTATAACGGCAAGGAACTTCATATATTCACAAATTTTACTCCATCAGCTTTAGATTGGTCTTGCCCATGTGTACAAGATCACTCTGGTTAAGGTACCACATGCCAGAAAATTACTCAAGACCAAACTATGCTAATAGGAAGTTGTAAGAAATCAGCTGAAGTTCACTGCTTAAGCAATAAAGTTTTATGTAGCTGAGGTCCAAAAGGAGGGAAAGGTAAAAGAGAAGGGGAGGTGTGTGAAGATGTATGTCAGCCACAGGAATGTATGAGCTAGACTGACAGGCAACAAATAGAATTTTCACTGAACACTGGGCATGACTGATACAGAACAGAAAGGCAGATCACCTGGACAGTCAGGAAGGCTGCCTGAGGCTGAGGGATAACCAGGCTATAGTAAAAAGCCACGAGTAACCTTTGAACTATTCCACTGCCCGGGACGGATTTGATTTCTGAGCAGATCCTCTGAAAGCAAACTTGGCTGCCCTTTGCATTGTGCCGCCCATCCTCCTCTTGTCTCATCAGCGTTGCTAAGTGCCTTTACAGTACTACAGCCCCGTTCTGACTTGGTACGCTTGACTGGCATAAAGAATTCACCAGGTAAACACTGGCACAATGTTTTTTTTCTGAAATTTTACAAGTTCTATGCATGCATATATTTGTGCAATTCAAAATGTTAAAAACGCTGTTTTTTCAGTTGAAACTTTAGCTTCACATTAATCTGTATGGCTACAGCATAATGAATAGGTGTGTCTGTGTGTCCTGTTAGGTAGTATATATTGCAGGGATTTAAGACAGACTCAGGATTTCGCTCTCATTTGCTCTGACATGTGTGTGTGTTGTTAGCCCTCCCACAATTTCTGAAGACCTTCCTCTTGTAAACACACGTTTTCATTTGCAAGTGAACTCAGGACAATGCCCGAATTCTGTTATCCATTGTCTGCCTTTTGGGAGGATAAACTCCAGCTACATACTAAGCACACCTTTGCATCTTCACATTTTGTTTCAAAAATAAGAAAGAGCCTTAGCATCAGCAGTCTGTCTGCGTACTGTGACACGGCCATACACAAATGTAAATTCAAAGCTGTAGGTTTTCTAGACTTACAAACACACCATAAATCCTTGACATTTGAAATTCATGAGAGAGTGTGGACCAAGACAGTACATTACCGGGTGCTGTACTGTTAAAAATGTGCTCTATACAGTAGATGCGGGAATGGTTGTATGAATAATCTGAAGTTCTAAAACTATAAAAATAAAACAGCTGGCTTACAAGCCACTGTAGTAATTCAGGATAAAAACTGTCATACTTCCAAAACAAATCAAGGACATTACATTGCAGAATTCCCAAAGGCTTCAGCTTTGTACTCGCCAGTTCCTGACACTCGTGATCATGTATTTGTTTGACCTTAAACAAAAGTTTACTTCCAAACACCCAATGCCGTTTACAAAATCTGTTGGCTACTTCAAAAGTTCCTCTGTTACAAAAATGCTAAGTTTCAGTGTAACAAAGTAGGCTTGTTTATCATTCTGTGGTAACAGGAATCACATCCTACCTACAGGGTCTGACCTCTAGATTTTTAACTTCATCTGTGCGGTGATGAAGATTCATCAGTACAGCATGTGACATAATATAAAACACAAGGCTGATGTCGTATGTCTGTGGGACAGAGGCACACACCAGGAGCAAGAGTGTACTGGCACTTACGCAGTTCTTACTTCCACTGGGTAGATGGGAGTATGATTCTGAACCATGGAGGCTGAGGCAAAGTTCTGTAAGTGGATGCTACAGGGCTCTTAGATAATATTGCATCATTTAAAGTCCCACCTAAAAATATGGTCCCTAGTAAGAGTTCGATCATTCCAGTTCCGAAAGGCCCTTGTTCACACTTCCTATTTGAACAAGAAATTAATGATAAGCTGCAGCAGAACCATCAGTAAAATGAAGACATAGTGCTTAAACTGCAAGAAATGGTAGTCCACAGGTGGTGAATTAGAAGTGACTCTATTTCGTAGAGCCATAATGTCTCTGCAAGATAAAAAATAATATCCTGTAAATTACAGTCTGGACAACTTGGCATTTTCTAGTATGTTAGGGCTCCCTGCACAAGACAGTTATTGAGGAAAACTATGAAACATCATTGAGCAATCAACACTGGGGAAGCAGGGTAGTTTTAAAGACATCAAGGCTCTAAAGCAGAAAGATTCATACCAGTCTCCAATGGAAAAAAAGCTAAAAAATTAGTATTCTCTAAACCATTTTAAAGCAATTCATATAATACTACCTCTTAATGTCTTCTTGTGTTTCCTTTATAGATTCAATGGCACTCTGCAGTTCACCAAGGTCTGCCCCTTTTTTCCTTATTCTTGTATTATGCTTCAGAAGTTGTGCTAGAAAAATACAAAAGCCAGTTGTATTTCACTGAAGTGACTGCTAAGTCAAAAAAGGAACAAAGTACTAATGAAAAACTCAACCAGTTGCAAAAATGAGGAGAAAGCTTCCTAACTAAGCTTTTTTAATAAACTTTATTTATTCTATACTTTATTTCTAAACTAAAGCTTTATTTCAGAGCTACCTATAGCACAGAAGGACAGCAATCACTTTATTGTTTAACTTCTGCAAGCATTATCAACAACAAAAATCTGCCTTCTAGCAACATACCAACCTAGAAATTATAACAATTCAAAAGAAGACATTCTGCTTCTTTTGTTTGTCCAGAAAGAGCTTCACAATGGATTAAACTTTTTCATTATTATTTTTAGCATTATTTCATCATATAAGCATCAAGACGAGTCCATGTGACTACAGAGCTCCATTTCCCTAATAAATTTATAATTTCTGTATACATATGTCTTTTCCTACCTTCACTCCCAGAGGAATCCTGGTTATCAGGCTCTGGGGATGAGAAACCACACTCCCCTTTCTTCTGACTGGTTGGCTTTCGTTTGATTTTTGGAACATTCACCTACAATTGATGAATGTATTAATTACTTCTGGACAACCAGATCTGTAGCAAAGCAGCACATTCAAACAGTAATATTTAAAAGCACAATATCTAACAGAACTTGAAGTTACAATTTTTGATGTATAAGCAGCCTAAAATGTGTGCATCTTCTCATTTAATGGAAAACACACATTAAACTGTTGAGAACAAGTTTGCATATTTTATATTCCTATCCGATCAACCCATGTCTACCACTTAGGACCCAACACAGAAGTGAAAGACAACGGACTGGATAAACCACATTTCTGTAGGATAGCAGTAGTATTTCCCATCACTCCCAGTGCTTTGATGACCTCTATACATTTAATGCAACACATACAAGTCCCTGGATCTTGCTGCACCTGCTAACAGAACCGGAACGTACCATCGGTGTCCGATGCCGAACTTTAGTTTGGATGGTGCCATCTTTTTCAAATTGGATCATATCATTCAAAGGGTCCCACGGTCTGGTACTAAACAAAGTGAATATAATTCGTTAATTATATTAATTATGTACAGCAACTTATTTCAGAAATATTTTCCTGCTCAGAAAGTATTTGCTATGGACAGGTGAAAGTTCTTTCTGCCTACATAGAAGCTGGACATGGAATAAGCAATCCTGTCTTCAAACTATAGCACAGTCCTAGACTGAAGGGCCAAGAGAGCCACAAAATAAACTTCTTATCCAGGCCAACCCATCATCCAGCTGGTAACAGTACAAGCTATTGTATTAACCAACAATATAATTATTAATTTATTTGGCTAGTGATATGCGTATGTCAAACGTGGTGAAGTTTTCTTCTTAATGTACAGTTACTATTTTAGAACTACAGGGAAATTACAGGGTTTTACAAATTATTATTATTTTGGAGTGCTTTTTTGTGTTTTGTTGTTTTTCTTTTAAAAGATGCCTAGAAAGCAGAGGTTAAGAATAGGAAGGTAAAGTTAAGAATCAGTCACCTCAAACCTGCTGTCATCCCGAAGTGGCTAATGGTATAAAGACTGGTTTCAAGAGGCAATAATGAGCTATGCAGTTTGCTTGTTCAGATTTTCCAAGAGTGCTTTTCCAGGTACAGGTTGATACAGAATTTAAAAAATCAAGCAGAAGACACACAGCTCACTGGAGAACAACAAGCAGCCAGAGGCAAAGACAGACATTCCCACCTTTTCAGGATAGAAACTTCTAAGTCAGCTGCATGAAGATCATCCTGATGCACAACTTTAGTGAGAGCAGATTAAGCATGGATTTCCTTTCATTTCCTCCTTTATGCGTTTTAAAACATTTGTAGCTGCTTCAGATGTTGTGAACATAGACCTGCATTTACATCTTGGCTTAACCTTACTTGAATTAAATGTCATCTAAGGTAATTGGGTAAGGACAAGGCATTGCTCTCCCAAAAGTCTTTTGTATCTGTAATCCAGATACCTAAATCCGTAATCCAGATACCTTAATAAATGCCACAGCTCAGTGAACACAGCTTTCCCAGTAAGCATAAAAGACTGCTCTCTATATGGATCAGGTAGTGAGCTGGCATTATATGAGTAAAAGGAGACAGAAATTTCTCCCAGGGACTGCTGACAGTGCAGACTCCTTTCTGGCACACAGTAAAATTTCCATGGTGCATCCTTGAACTGTAAGGCCCCAAGGAGACAACAAATAACACAGATTAACAAGATAGGTCTTAAAAGCTGCAGGGGATAGTCTAACAGATTTAAAGCGCAGTATTTTTCCTGATAGTTTTGCACAAGGTTCAACAGTATGGGCAGTCAATTCAGCTGTACTATTCATAATTCTTCCAACAGGAAGAGCAATCAACAGGACTAGAAGGTTCAAACCAAGAAAGGGTGCTTCACAGAGCCCCTGCTGCAGGATGCTTTGGGTGGCACAACTCTGCACAGACTGCAGAGGAAACCAAGAAAATATACAGAAAAGAAATCTATTAAGAGTTGCAAAAATACACAGAATCCCTGCTTGGTTCCAGGAAATCTCCAGGTTGCAAACTTGCTGGAGACATGAAGAGTACTGAGGATTCTTGTACTCTTCCCCTGTACATACACTTAGGCCACTGCCTCAATGTTGCTATTCTTGTACAGAAACATGAAGGTGTCCCAGGTTTAGCCACGGGAATATACTTCCAGCATCAATGGCTTCAGAATTACTTAACTCAGGAGTATATAATCTTTGGATTTTCTACAATCTTTGCAATATAGAAACATTCTGTGTATTGTAAAAGAATCGAGAAAATGTGGGTGTTCTGTGAAAACCATCACTAAGAAAGGGCTCAGCTCCAAGCTGACTCTTTCAAGAGTTGGTGAAAATAAAGAATGCTTCCCAGCAGTTGGAAAGGCAGCTGCATCTTCATCTTCTGATCCCAGTGATCACAGAAAAAGCTTCACAAACACTCATGTGATGTGAAAGAGCTTCAGAAACACTCATGTGTAGGGGCATATTTGACAGATGAGCTGAGCCACCGGGTCCCAGCATTAACCACTGTTGTAAACCTGTATATATTTTAACATATAACAAATAAAATTGCTCAGTTTGATTAAGCACAGGCTTTTCTGATTTCCAGCTGGTATTCCCATATGTAGCATATTTTCCAGTCTGGAAAAAATGTGTGCAACAGCTCTGGTCAGTCTCGGGGAGAGAGGGAAAGGAGCACAAAGCATCCCAAAGTGCCATGCCCAAAAAACTCTGTAGCATAGCCTGGACTTGTGGAGGTACAAAACCATGGAGGTAAAAAAGAAAAAGTCTATTGCCAGTGTTACATGAAGCAAGGTTGCTGCATTAGCAAGCACTGCCTTTTCAACATGACATTAACATATCCTCTCTTTGGTGAAAGCCCTACCAAGCTCAGCTAAAAAATAATGCATTATATTAAAACACATTTTAATTAATTAATTAACTAATTGAAACACAGTAGTGTCATGCATTTCATGAGTTTGAACTCAGCTATGTATCTGAAAGCACAGCATGGGGCTCAGTGACACTACCAAGCATTTAACAAACACTTTATGTTACAAGCACTCCAGGACTCACTCAGCGTATTTGTAGTGCCATTCTCCAGTGACCGAATCCTGGTCAAACAACTTGCATGTCCACTCTTCACCCTTAAGTTTCCTCTCTTTGGCACTCCTTCTCTGAGCTTCTTCCAGAATGTATTTCTCATGAGTGGCTTCTGTTTGGTCTTTATTATTTATTGCTCTTGTCACTTGTTGCCAAAGCCTGACAAATGAGCAATACACAGAGTTACTATCTGGTTGACAGAAATAATTGCAAGCATTTTTTTAAATTATAGGCTAAGTAAAGGGATCAACCTCTAATAAAATATTACCATATTGTAATATAAGATTTATCTACACTCCTATCAAGACTTTCCACGACAGCAAGGTTTGAAACAATGATCTTGTATTGCATGGTGCTGCTTTCTCACTTTACAGGCCACTATCAGCAAACATAGGAAAGTAATAAATCATAATTTGTTAATAATTTGGAGATTTTGAGTTTTATTTTGTTAAAATCATTATACATGGTTCTAAAGAAAACTTACTTCTCTGACTCAAAGTCATCTTGCTCTTCAAACTTCACCGTGTATCTAGGTAATCTACGCTGCTTGATTTCAGATGTTGGGTTCCAGAATATCTCCGAAATACCTGTCTTCTTGTCACTAATAGTAACTTCACTGTCCTGTAATATACATAATTTAGTTACCTTAACTGTAATAATCTCAAAGAGTGTCAAAATAATACAAAAGGGAGGAATAAGCAATT